CTGCTGAGAAGTTGAAGTCCATGCAGTCACGTTATATGTGAAAGATGAGTTTTTATATAAGGAATAATGACCACACTGACCACTGTGTAGCATGTGGTAATTTTTTTTTTTTCCATCTTAGTGCAAAACACTATTTCCTCCCCAACATCTTGAACAAATTATAAATAATAAAACATCAATGCGCGAAAGGTGTGAGGGGATCTGTATAAATCTTCCTTTTTATTTGTTCACTAAGTTCTTAGGTCAGCTCTTGCTAACATTTGCCAAGCATACCTTCTGAGATGACTTTAGGGAGAAGGAATTGGATTCTTGAATAATTTATTTCATCTTTAAAGGAAAAAAGAAATTACTTCATCCTTCCTATTCAGATTGGGATGTTGCCCTTGTACTACTTCACATTTTCCCATGCTAATGTGTTTTTTCTGATTTATGTTTTTTTCTTAAGTCTGATTTATGTTTTTTCTTAATAATTTGTTACATACATTCTGCACAAGAAAAATGGATTTCCGTAACGTAATATCAGCTAATAGTTCAACATATTTTAAATATGAATTCAAAAAAATAATTGAAGAAGAACTATTTAATTGCATTTATCTTGTGCCCAACAAAAATTTTTAAAACACTGGTAAGCGGATGACTTTTTTCCACACCACCTCCCAAGATGTATGGAAATGATTGTGTCAACACCAGTAGTATTTTAGGTAAGGATACATTAAGACTAAAATGAAACTGTAAAAATATTATTTAAAGAGAGTTTATTTTTTCTGAGCAGAGATGCTACTGTTCATGCCTACTTGTTATCTCAATGATTTAAAAATAAATAGTTGAATGTTCAATTAATCATTTTCAGAACTTTATTTTAACTTCTTCCAGTATACAAAGCCAATTCTCAATTCAGTTCCAACTCAATTTCAAATTCAAATGTCTAATGTCAAGTTCTCAGTCCTTTAGTATCCAGTAGCAATATGTCTTATTTCTGTATAGTGACTTATGTTTTGAAATTTTTGTACAACAATGGCTGCCTACTGAACAGAAAGTCTTATACTAAGAAGCAGTACTGGAAAAAAGCTGTTGAAGAAAACTGACTTTACGTTAGCTCACGAACTTAAGCTGCCAAAGAGAAAGGTAGATTCTTTGTGAAGATTAAAAACCTTCAGTAATTTTGGAAAAAACAAAACAAAAAACCCAAAACCGGCAATATCTGCTAAAATTATCAACACATTTATACAACTAGTTAAAAGTAAATGGAAAGAGTACACAAATCAGATGAAGACCATAAAAACCCAAGAAGTGTGTTGTTAGAAATTATCCTAACCTTTCCTGTAAAGGTTCCAAAATTTGGAGGACAGGTGTTTCTACCATGTTTTCTCCTGCATCTGATAAGAGGGGGAAAGGAGTGAAAGTAATGTCTCCTATTTCCTTTTCCAGAGAACAAAAAGTAACAACAGCAAGATTTCTATGGACATCTTCAGGCAAAGACAAAATTTCCAACTGAAGAAAGTCCATCTTAATTGAAAAATATGGTGTCCATTTGCTTAGGTGAACAAACAGCTTAACAACATTCAGAACAAGAGAACTGGAAAACTTCCATGTAAGACATTCAAGACAACCTCTCAAATTACATCTGATGATTTTAATGGAGTGAAATGGAGTGAAAAGTTCATGTGCAATTTAAATAATAGTTATTTTAGTCTTAATTTCGGTAAGAAGAGATCTGGCCTCTTACAACACAGCACTTAAAGAAAGATGGACAGGAGTAGGTTAATCAAAAACTCTAATGAAGCTGACTAGTGTGAGGGATTAAAGTTCACGACAATGATAACCCATATATGACAAGACAGAATCTCTACAATCAATATTTAGTTATAAAGTATATTGTATAGTTTGCTGGATCTGTACTTGGGTACATGTCCCCACCTATTCTGCCAGAAAAAAAATAGTCCTTCTAAAAGAAAAAAAAAGTACATCAAAAATATGCCTATGATAGAAAATAAATACCAGCTAGGAGAATGGCTTCATGTTTGTCTTGCACATGTACAATACTAATCTCCAAGTGAAAACTCCATTGCATGTGAGTCTTGAACTTTTATTTTACAAGTGGTTTAGAGAAGTCTGTATTTCTTTTCCTTCTTCAGTCACAGACTTACACTTCCACAAATCCAATCTTAACATGTCATAAATGCCATTTTTTCAGGGGTTTGGGTTTTTTTAATGTGATAAAAATTATAAATTTCAGGCAGATAAGTCTAAATTATGAATGAAAATACAGGCTTATACACACATATATATGCACATACACATGAAACATGATTCAAAATAAGAATGGGGTGATTTTTGTAAACAGAACTGCTAGCACTGAAAATAAAACGTTATAGTATTTGAATTCTCAGATGAGTTATGACAGGAAACAACTCTCATCCTCCAAACCCTTCACTAATCCTGTTTTGCCGTGACAGAATAAACAGACTAGAAAACCAGTTTTAAAAACTATATTCTTCTTTTTGTTTAAAAATAGAAATAAAGCAAGAAAGAAAATCTCTACCTTTTATTTTAATGCCTTTCATAAAGCTTTGCAGAATATGTTTCCATCATGATAGGACAGTAGTGTCGTGGTTCCTAATGAACACAATGCCACAGAATGCAGGTACTTATCACTGCCATGATTCTCCAAAAGGTTACCAGCAATCCAAGATCATATCCAATTTTTTTCTACATGGGTAATGAGAATGGAGTAGAGTAGAAGAGAGTGCTGCAACTCAACTGCCCTCACTCCATGCGGGATGGAGAAATGGGCAAGCCAATGACTGCTTTCAACTTTGCTGAAAGCCTGACTTGCATGAACAGAATAGGAAGTATAAGCATGCAAGTCTGCAAACTTTCTTTTCCTTCTCTCTGAAAACACAAACCCAAACCCACAATAACAAAAAAAGAGACAAACCAACCTTTACATTGCAGACAGTGAAATACTGGGCATCAAGTATCTGGTATGATCAACAGTAACTCAAACATATGCCAAAAATCACATACACATTTAATGAGAACAGAGGTAATAAATTGTTTTGGCAGAGTAATTCTCAACACTAGAGTGAGCTGTGTAGAGCAAGAAAGCTAAGGGAAGCAGGGAACTAATTTTGCAGTGCTCCAAGGATCAATGCTCTTCCATGACTACCAGCTTTTGAGAAGTTGAAGTGTCATTTATCTGCTTTTCCCTTGTTACCTATGGAGGTCTTTCAATGTTACAGATTATTAGCTGTAATCGGAAAGCCCCAGTGTGTTGAGTGCTGCCTATCCAGAGCACAAGATAGAAGCACTGGCCCACAGCAGCTGCGTTATCAGGCCAAGATTTTGCTTGTCATCCCTAAGAACAGCACCTTCTGTAAGGATTCTTAATCCCTTTTTACCCAAGGTACACTCCAGGGCAATTCACTTTAGAGCTAAAGAAGAAAAGCCAGCTACATAGAGTTATGGGGAAAAAAATGGGGCTATTAGGACACAAAAAAGCAGTCAATTCCATGCTAGAAGCGGTGATTACTTTGATTCTTGGAAAAATAAACGTATAAAATATTGTACTAAATTGATTCCAGGTCAATCTGTAATTAATGCGAAATCTCATACCCCTCAAGGCTACTACTTGAAACTGTGCAAACCTGCAGTAACTGCTTAACATTTTGAATCACTTTAACAGAATTATAATACTTAGACACTACGATTCTTTTTCCATCAATGTCATGTGAAAGATTCAAATGGAATTATTAATAACATTCATAGGATCCAGGAACATTAATATATAGGGTATGTAACAAAAAGAGGTGGGAGTTATCTGTTGGCAGAGTATGTCTAGCCATTGAAAAAGTAAACTTATTTCCTGTATCCAGTTAATAATGGCATGTAATTTATAGAAAGTGGGTCTGAGGCTCAGTTTTACATTTGGCTTCAATATTTGCAGAAGTGTGCATCCACTGTGGTTATGGACAACATAGCTTTTGCAGGAGACATTTAAGAGTATTTCCAACAGAAAACAAATTAATTATATACTTACGGCATGGGGTGTTTGGTCTGTTCACAAGTTGTGGGAAGGCAAAGACAGTCGACAACTCTAGTTCATGGTTTTGATTTTGTTCCTTTTCTTCGGTCTGGTCAGCCCAAACTACCGATTTTTGTCTTTGAATCAGCTGCTCAACCTCCCCAAATTCAGTCTCAATTAAATTATTTGCCAACCCAGCTTCTTTCAAAGTCAGGTATTGTTTGCGAAGAACTGGAAGCAAAGTATTTAGTACTCTAAAACAACAAGAGGCAAGACAAATATGACTAAATCATACCTAATCTGATCCTTACTAGCAGTGCCACTACTATGAATACGAGAGGCTTTTTGCCCTTCTCCCCTCACCCTCCCAAGTTCTGCCATGTAATTTAATTTATTTTGGGGAAACACTGTGAGGCTGAGAGGAAATATTAATGACTAAGTAGAGTGATTTTTATCTTTTGCAAAATCTTGTATTTCACTCTAAGCATTTACTAAGTATAGTTTTTCCTCAGTGTCCAAGATCTTCAGTCTCTCAAACACCACAGAAATACAGTCAGTATATCTTGATTGAGTTCTGACTTTCTAAAATTAAGTATCAGATACATTAAGAAGAGTATTAACCAAATAATGTGGTTTAAACAAAGTACATTTAATTAGATGTGCATACAACCTTATTAGAAGCCTAGTCCAAATAAATTTAGGTACTACAATTTTAATTAAAGAATGGAATACATTAAGATCCACACAGCTGCAAATCAAAGTAACAAAAGTTTAGGAATTCTTCCTGAACACAAGAATTCATTAACTGTGGAGTCAGCTGCAAGACTAAACAGAAGATTCAAGCAATAGGGAAAGGGATACATATATAAAAACCCAAAGAAGCAACTCCGTAATTACTAACAATGTAGCTTTAAAAAATTTGCTTTCAGTTTTGCAGGTTTATATATTAGTTTTTGTAATGTTTACAGTAACAGCCTTTTCTCCAAAGAAGGAAGAAAAGCTGGTTATTTCACTTTGTAATGATTTAACTGTAAATTTAATATACTTATTTACTGAGTGGATTTGCAATTACTCCCCATTCCTTCTGTCACGCTCTGAAAGCTTGTCTCCAACATTTTCAAGAGACTGATAATAGAAAAAGATCTGATGCTTACCTGCAAATTCAGCTTTTTTCAGTCTGACTAGCTATATGAGTTCAATAATAACAATTTTTAATACAGATAAATTAATGTCTACTGTGCCAGAAATGAAAAGAGAACACAAACACTTATTAAAAAATCAATACTGCTGTTCAACACAGATGAAGAACATAAGACACCTTGATCTATTGAACAACTTGTAAAAACTATGCAAAGAAGAATATTAAATAGAATTAAGAAGCAGTAGAGCATACCTCAGTTTCTGTTAAACAATGGTGGACACAGACCAAGATTTATGAAGTGATTATTATTTTACATATCTTTTTGCTTAAGAAAACACAATTCTAACCTAGAAAAAAAAGTTTGAGAAAAATCTTGCTTCTGTTTCAACTAAAACTGAATTCTATAGACTTCTGAAGTTACCATTGTCAGACTAGAAGTCTTACCATGCCTGCTATGAAACCATACTTACTTTTCTGTCTGCTTATAATGCTGATCTTGAAGGGACATCAGAGATAACATGTGCTCAATCTGGGTTTTCAGGTCCTTAACTTCTAGGTTTAAATGGCAACACCGCAGATCTTTATAGAGTTCCTTGGGAAATTAGCAAGAATAAAAACAAACAACTGCACATCAAACCGATAAGTGAGAAACTAAAAATAATATTAATTCATTCTACATTGAAAACTAAAGTTGGAGCAGACCTATATTATAAAATTTTATGGTAGAAAAGTATGAATTGTTTGACTTTTATTTACATGCATAAATACTGCTTTGTAGATTCTTTTGACCAATAGTGTGTATGCTGTAATTAGCATTAAGAATCCAACAGGCACATATGCATACCCAAAAATATGTTTGCCTCGTTTCCTATATACTTGCTCTATATCTGAATTTCAGTGACTTTGTCTGGGACAAGTATTCACTGTATTCAGTCATTTTCCTGAGATGGCATTATCCTGCTTGAAATAGCTTTAAGTTAATTTCTTTTAAGGTATCAACACATTTTAGTCATCCCCATAAAAATACAGGTATTGAAATATATTCCATTATACAAGTCACATAAGTGTTCATTACACTATCATTTCAGCCACTTCAATTGCTGGCTGAAACTAACAGGCAGGGAGGAGCAATCCCCCGTCTTTCTTTTCCTCTTCTCCTTGTTCCTGCACAGATCTTCATCCCTTCTCCTCTGCTAGCTCTGGTGCTTGTCTGAGGCCACACTGAGCTGACTCTACTTGCTAAAACTGGGCAGAGAACTTAACACAACTTCCCACTCCTCCCCTAGCACCCTCCAAAAAAGAAGATTTTTTTAGCCTAGCTAAGAATTAGGTTGTCACATGATTCAACGAGCATCAGGAGCTACTATAAAGGCGAGAACTAGAAGTGTATGGCCAGGAGCAGGATCAGCACTCTGGCAGCCATCTGAATTGTTCAGCCATAGCATACTTATTCCCCTTTAGCATGCATTTTTGCCTGTAATCGTGTACTTTTATGAACAAGGAATACTTGCACAAACAATGAAGTACTTTTAGGGCAGAAGAACAGAAACAGCTAACACTAGAATTTGAAACCGTCCTGAAAGAATGGCAGAAGTCATGAGTAGGAGCAAGACGAAGAAAAGAAAAGAAAGAATCTATTCTTAACTATACTCAGATGTTGCCTACAATGGATAAAATCTGCCCTTGAAGTGAAAGGCTTTTACCTTTGGAATACACCCATCTTGACCCAGGAGGCGCATTTCATTTTCAACACGATGCAGCCAATTGGTATTTTCCTCAAAATGTTCAGTCTCCTCTTCTTTCTTCTTCTGCATGTGTACGCGGTGGGTTCTAAGCATTGCAAGCCTTTGGTCCCGCTTGCAAGTGGCCTAAAATCAGCATTTAAGGGGAAAACTTTCAAACTATGTTCACAAACATAGCTTTATAAAAAAATATTTTTTCTATACTTTAATACTCAACTGGTCACAACAAACATTTTCTATTTTTGACCAGTTTAATAAAAGTGAAGTAGCACATTCTCCTTACAGGCATTACTGAATTAAATATTTTCAAATTTCTTTTCCTGGAAGCCCTTATAATTAAATTATAATAGTAATTTAATTATTCTTTCAATGAATAATACATTGGATTTGATCACTTTCTGTTCTAGAACATTATTAAGTTAGAAAAACTGGAAAAAACTACATGTAAACGTACAAACACACTTCTAGATACAACATAACCTAATAATTTCTAGTAATTCAAGCACGAATACAAAGGACAAATTTTATCTGCTTTGTTTTCTTAATGCAATGTCCCAGAAAAAGCCCACTAAAAGATAAAGTATTTGGTAAAATGAAATATTCGTCTGATGCTTCTCTGAAATCTGGCAACAAAAATGCATAAAACCAGCAACAGCAAGCTGGAGAAGAATGAGGTACTATCCTAACAAGACAAAGGAGACTATTCGGAGGAGAGCTATAGAGTGCAGTGCACTTTAAGAATTAGGTCACTAACTCAACTACTCATTGAGAACATTAACTTCAGATAGAGCTCACAGTTCAGCTTTGCGTAAACTTTACTTAGTTAAAAAAACAAAACAAAACCAAACACATTTGAAGTATATTGCTACAGTCAACAAAACTAAACATACAGAACCCAGTTAGTTTTAAAAAAATTATGACCTAAATCTCTACATCCATACATTCCAAAATTAATGCTTTAAATGAAAACTTCATCAATTAGACTAAATCTATGTATTTAGAATAGCAAGCCAAATTATTTTATTATAACATATATATGGTTGAGAGCAGCCCTGAGGAGGAGGACTTGGGGGTGCTGGTTGACGAGAAGCTCAACAAGACCCAGCAATGTGCGCTCACAGCCCAGAAAGCCAACCGTATCCTGGGCTGCATCATAAGCAGCGTGACCAGCAGGTCGAGGGAGGGGATTCTGCCCCTCTACTACACTCTGGTGAGACCCTCCCTGCAGTACTGCCTTCAGCTCTGGGGACCCCAAAACACAAGAAGGACTTGGACCTGTTGGAGCGAGTCCAGAGGAGGCCACAAAGATCTGAGGGCTGGAGCACCTCTCCTGTGAAGACAGGCTGCGAGAGTTGGAGTTGTTCAGCCTGGAGAAGAGAAGGCACCGGGGAGACTTTTGAGCAGCCTTCCAGTACCTAAAAGGGCCTACAAGAAACCTGGGGAGGGACTTTTTGCAAGAGCATGGAGTGATAGGGCAAGGGGCAATGGCTTTAAACTGGAAGAGGGAAGATTTAGATTACTTATTAGGAAGAAATTCTTCACCATGAGGGTGGTGAGGCACAGGAACAGGTTGCCCAGAGAAGTTGTGGATGCCTCATCCCTGGAAGTGTTCAAGGCCAGGTTGGTTGAGGCTTTGAGCAACCTGGTCAAGTGGAGGGTGTCCCTGCCCCTGGCAGGGGGCTTGAAACTGGGGGGTTGGAACTAGATGGTCTTTAAAGTCCCTTGCAACCAATCTATTCTGATTCCATAATAAAATGTCATAAGAAACTCTGAATGTACCTCCCTAATGTTGCAAAACACAGAAATTACTCTAACTGGTGCCCTTCTAAGCATACTATAGAAAACAGAAACATGGAGAGATGCAGATTGCATTTCTTAAGCTGACTTTTCAAAATGCTTACTTCAACACATGGCATACAGAACACAGAAATAGTATGGTAAAGACATCTGAACTACACGTGTGCTCCGAGCAACTTACCAGGTCAAAGACTAGATTCTGGTCAGAATTTCACTTTGCTTTCTCTTTAGAACATCTTATCTGCTAAGATGACAGAGCATCCAGAGAATACAAAGTAATTTTGTAAAGGATCAGTTCCTTATGGAAAGTATCAGGAGGAAGAGTTAACTGTCAGACTAAAGCTCGCAATGACCACTGATTCCCTCTGACTAGTGAGGGTACTGAAGAGCCTTTCAGGACTGCTGAAGCAGAGAAATTCAAATGCATGGTTTTGCATAGTTCAGCTTTTATGCAGTACAGGAGAGGTAATCAGATTGAAGGTAGTATTGACAATATCCCACAATTTGATGAACCTATGCCATAGGTTTCCAGGAAGAAAGGACATGTTACATCGATGTCCTACAACAAAAATATATGGTTGTGTGTGCTAGTTGTACACAAATTCTGGAACACATGTAGTCCTAAGCAAGATACTTGGTTGCTACTCTGTTTTGTAACTTTTTTTAAAAGCCTGTCAAAGTACCAGCAGTTTTTTTGACATGTCTTTAATAAAAAAAAATAATTTAAAACATACTCCATGACTGATGCAGAAACCTTCAAGATAAAATAGGTCAAAACTGAGCAGGTAAGGGAAACATTAGTTGTCACTTTGGTAATCAAATGACTGGATTCCAAATTAAAATCCAATTTATTCCAAAGTAATATAAGAGGACATTTAATTTTACCATTATAGCAACTTACTCCTGTCAATAAGGCATTGTACTTATAGGACAGTACTCTTGACCCTTAGTAAATCACATCTGTAAGTTAACTAATGGCAAAACCAACATTTGAGTGCAGCACTGCTAACATTCAAAAGAAAAGTTAAATCAGCTCATAAAAAACATTTGTATGAAATAGAGCATATGAAGGTGTAACTCCTCGTTATGAATACAGCTATGCTCCATTGTAAGTAGCATTTAAAAGTATGGAACAGATAAAAATATTACTTTGGATTTTCTACGGCATAAAAGAGAATTCTAGAACGCATTAGTCACTTGAAATATCTTCATTAATGACAAGTTAAAATGCATGATATATTTTCACTTTGACATTTATCTAAGGACCAAATTTCATGTGAATCACCGGGAAAAAAATAGTCATATGGTAAACTATCATTTTTGGCCAAATACAGCTTGTTACTGTGACTAAGCAAAATCAGCCCCATTCTGAACTTCATATCTACATAAAACACATATTCCTTTAGGCTGAGTTTTATCAGAAAAATTAAGATATTATCTCAGCATGCTTACTTATTTATACTTTGATTCTTCTACAAAGACATGAGCATTCAATGCTGCACAACAGCAATTGTTCACACTTGGTCCCCAAATTCTTCTCTTAAAATTCAAGGCAACTAAACCTAATTATTTCAGTTCACATGACTCCATCCTTAAGCAGCTAATCCAAACATCTTCCTGGCAACAACTGAAAACACCAATGATAAGAATCTGTCTTGTTTAGCACAAGGTCCATGCTTTTCCTTATGAAACACAAATGGATTACTCAGCTTGATAACAGCTTCAACTGCTGTACCATACATACGTTAACATGCTTTGGTTTTGGACAAGAGTACCATGAGTCTCCTAAGTCCAGTCAGATCTTAAGTAACTACGACAATCAAGCCTATGTAAGGACAAGTTGAAATGTTTTCACAATTAGCAGCAACAAGCACATCAACAGTTTTCTGCGCAGTGTGGAAAAAATAGCACACCTGGCACTACAGCTACATTTTATGTATTAATGTCAGAAAAATGTTATCTGAGTGATAACCAGTGTGTCCCATTTTAATTAAATATTTAAGCAATAATTAATTACATAATTATTTAAGCAAAATTCTTACATTGATATAGCAAAATGAAGCGAGACGATATATTGGACTACATTATAGAAAACTCACCTTTTCTACTCTTTCTTCAGAGCACAACAGCTGAATTTGTTCATGACATTGTTTCTGGTAATATGTCTTCAGTGCATTTTCTTTCAGTTGCATTTCCAACTTGAGGTATTCTTTTCTGATTTCCTCACGGTTTGTAAACACATTTTTAAGGATTTCTTTGTATCTATTAGAACCAAAGGATAAGAATAAATAACGGATTACTTACTGAAGACTTTTTTTATGACCATCTCCTTTACAATGGGAACTCTCATTTTGAAGTTAATAAAATAAATATAAAAAATGAAGAGGAAAAAAGTAAAGTCTGTTATAGGTGAACATTAAATAAAGTCTTTACTCATGTACTGACACTTTGTGTATTCGAACTGAAAATGGGATGTGAAATTTTGAAGGGGTCACTAAAACTAAACCTTGTTTTATTTATCAAGATGTCACTGGGATTCAAAAGAAAGACATCTGGAACTTCTTCACATAAGTCTTACCTCTACCTCTAAAAGATACTAGATACTTATTTTCTCTTCTTCTTATACCAATTGACTAAACAGATCAGACTACTGTTGCCATAGACGCACATGGTCTCCTTCAAAAAACCTGCTAGTTATCATTCAAAAAAAGAAAAAACCATGAAGGACTCTTCAGTTGTTCACTTTTTCTGAAGTTCTGTTGTACAATTTTAATCACTAATGGATGACAAAAATGAGAAAATGCATTATTTTTTAACACTAATGCATTATTTAACACTAATAGGGGGGAAAACCCAAACTAGTGATAGAAGGTTCTTAAGAGTTATTCCAAGGAGTTCAATGTTTAAATGGCCTCAAAATCTGCTTATTCCTTGTCTGCAATGCAAATCAGAACAACAAGGATAAAGAGAAAGCCTGGAATCATAGAATGGTTTGCTTGGAAGGGACCTTAAAGACTATCTAGTTCCAACCCACCTGCCATGGGCAGGGACACCTTCCACTTGACCAGGTTGCTCAAAGCCTCATCCAACCTGGCCTTGAACACTTCCAGGGATGGGGCATCCACAGCTTCTCTGGGCAACCTGTTCCTGTGCCTCACCACCCTCACCATGAAGAATTTCTTCCCTATATCTAATCTAAATCTACTCTCTTCCAGTTTAAAGCCATTGCCCCTTGTCCTATATCACTCCATGCTCTTGTAAAATAAGCTTTTTTGTAGGCCTCCTTTAGGTACTGGAATGCTGCTACAAGGTCTCCCTGAAGCCTTCTCTTCTCCAGGCAGAAGAACCCCAACTCTCTCAGCTGTCTTCATAGAAGAGGTGCTCCAGCCCTCTGATCATCTTCGTGGCCCTCCTTTGCACTTGCTCCTAACAGGTCCATGTCCTTCTTATGGACACCCCACTCCAGGTAGGGTATCACCAGAGCAGAGTATAGGGGCAGAATCCCCTCCCTTGATCTGCTGGCCATGCTTCTTTTGACGCAGCCCAGGATGCGGTTAGCTTTCTGGGCTGTGAACACACACTGCCAGGTCATGTTGAGCTTCTTGACAACCCAAACATTACCATGTTGCAACACAAGTTTCAGCGGTGGTACTTTTTCTCTTCACTCCTGAGTACTGAAAATGCAGTACAGAATAGCCCAGAAGATACTGTATATCTTGACAATGAGCAATGTTGTATACAAGCCACTTCATAACATCCTATTGACTTGTTAGATCTTTAGGTAAGAATAAAGGCACAGTTTAACGAGCAAATGTTCTAAAGACATGCAACATTTGAGGTCATTATACAGTGTTTAGCATAAAGATCATAAAATTAAATACCATAAAAATCCTAAAAAGTAACACATAGGTTCAACTAGAGAGTAAGTTGAAGAGACATTCTTGCGACATAGTTGGCTTCTTACCAGCGTGTTTCAGAAGTAGCAATTTCATTTCATAGTCTAAAGTCTGAATAATTCCGAGTCTTTTATTCTAGTGTTTTATTACTCTAATTTTAAAAACAAAAAGAATTAACAAAAGAATTCTCTACAGTTTTAGAAATTCAACAGTTTTACCTAGAAGTGCCCAGAGAAGTCTATCGTATCAAGGTAGAAATGTGTACTAAAACACACACAGAATTTAGAAATACTATTTCTTTAAGGAATAAAGCAGTCAGCTGCAAAGTATCAGAGTTTTTACTCTGTCACTATCTATACAATCTGCACTACTATACTATTGATTCCACAACTGGTCAGAGAATATTTTTTTTCCTCCATAGTATCCATAGAAACATGGTTCCCCCCAGCTGCCTGGGAAACACAGCAACAGGAAATGAAGGTGAATCCTCTCTCTCAATTTCCCTCACAGTAAAAGCCTTGGCATAGTTTAAGAGAGGGCGCAGATTCTGATTCTATGTACAGTGACTGTGAGGAACTATTACTGGTAAATCAATCCTTTGTGTATTTATAATCATCAGTGTCTCAAATACAGCATCAGTATAGAAGCCTTTGCAAAGCTCCTGCCTTCAGCGGGATTCAGTCTTTCAGTAAACACAGTTCTATTTTTATGGAGTTATCTTTACCCTCTCTTCTTCACTTAAAAGTGACAAAGTGATCCTGTAGGCATATCCAGGGTATGAACTCTGGACTATCTAGTCTCAAAGAGCTGGTGCACCTGTCAGTGGTAGTTCCAAAGTCAGTGTTTACTGTCTACCTCAATACGCTCAAGACTTGAAAGGTTGGCAGGCAACACATCTCCAAGCTTTAGACA